TAGGATCTGATGCCTTCTTCTGGCATGCAAGCATATATGTGTAGGCAGAACACACACACACACACACACACACACACACACACACACATATATATATATATATATATATATATATATACAGATTTTTTACAAAATTGAGGTGTGCTCGAACCACCTTTCCTGGATAAATGTAGCAACCACCCCACCCGACCCCCATCAAAGAAGTCCCTCTCTACAGCAAATGGGAACCATCACCAAAAACCACAACTGGACACAGTGCAGAGGTCAACAGATGGCGGGGCACCCAGCACCAATAAATTCATCTACATCACAACTCCTGCATCTACAGCTCAGAGAGCATCTTGGAAGAGAGGACAGGAAAACGGTAAGAGTCAGAATCCCAGGAAGTCTGCTGTGAAACAGTCTTTCCTAGAAATGGCGGCATCAATAAGACCTGAACAATGGCAATGTCAGTGAGCATGTTAGTGTGGAAGGGGAAATTCCACAGGGTCCCATCCTCAGGCAAAGAGCTATAGGCAACTAAGGACTGCTGGGAGGAGAATTAGCCACTTCTAGGGATGAGCTCCCTTACTGGTTGTCCAGGGTAGAGTGGTCAGCCTTAATACACACAAACAACAGAAAAAGACTCAGCAGGTTGCATTTCTATATATTTGTGTGTACACATATGTGCGCACACACAGCATATGTATGTAACAGTAATCAGGAAAAGAGGAGACATGGTGTCTGGGAGGGTGTCTGGGAGCAGATGGAGGGAGGAACGGAGGAGGAGAAAGGGATGTAATTCTACTTCAATTAAAAAATTTAAAACAATCCGGGCAGTAGTAATGCATGCCTTTTAATACCAGCACTTGGGAGGCAGAGAGAGACAAGTGGATCTCTGAATTCAAGGCTAGCCTGGTCTACAGAGCAAGTTCCAGGACAGTCAGGGATACATAGACAAACCCTGTCTCAAAAAACAAAACAAAACAAAAAAAAACACAAATTAAAAACAAATTTAAAACCATAGAAAATAGGAAAGAAACACTGAAAATAGAGCTGGAGAGATGGCTCAGTGGTTAAGAGCACTGGCTGCTTTTGCAGGAGACCTGGATTCAGTTCCCAGCACCCACATGGCAGCTCACAACCATCTGTAACTCCAGTTCTAGAGGATCCTATACCCCCACACAGATGTACATGCAGGCAAGACATCAATGCACATAAAATAAATAAATCATTTTTAAAAGAATATATTCATAGCTGGGCATGGTGGCAAGGTCATTAATGGGGGCAGAGGCAGGTAGATCTCTGTGAGTGAGTTTGAGACCAGTCTGGTCCACTTAATGAGTTCTAGGCCAGTCAGGTCTACATAGTGAGAAAAAGAGAAGGAGAGAGAAAGAATAGAAAAAAGTGGATATATTCATGGCTTGTGTAATTATAAAATAATAGAAATCTCAGCTGGGAAGCCGTGGTTGCACACCTTTAATCCCGGCAGAGGCAGAGGCAGGTGGGTCTCTGTAGACTAGCCTGGTCTACAGATCCAGTGCCAGGACAGCCAGGGCTACACAGAGAAACCTTGTCTGGAAAAAACAAGAAAAAAAGAAAGGAAAGGAGAGAGGGAGGGAGGGAGG